TCTGTTTTGTGTTGTAGCATTTGTTCTGGAAGCTCGTATTTACATTTTAAGTGTATCTGGTGAGTGGGCTGGAGCCCTCGTCTGGGCTGGGGAGAAAAAAAAAGCCCTCGTTTCGTCATTTAGTCGCTTCTCTTCCTTTTTCTCTCCGGTTTCTCATCACTCCAAGCAGGTAGGGGCTGAAAATGAAATAGATAATGATCAGTTTGCGGGGTCTGGGAAAGTTTTTTTTTTTTCTTTTTTTTTTTTTGGAGGAGAAAAGGTAAAAAAAAAAAAACCTAGGGAAGGGGGTTGGGGGAATTGAATGAATAAAAAGGGGAAGGAAGGCGGATCCACGTGGTTTAATCGGAGACAGACAGAGATCCCATTGTTCAAAATTAATAATAATAAAAAAAGCAGACGGGGCGAAGGCGCAGGGACGCTGGGGGAAAGTAGCGGCGGAGCGGGGCACTTTGCAGCCGGGATCAGAGGGATCGGCTGAGCCACACGCTCCGGGAGGGGCCGGGAGAGTTGGGCACCATTAAAGTTTTATTTTTCGTGTCTGTGCGAGCAGGTGTTTGGGTTTGGGGGCCAGCTTTATTCGAGCCACCCCCCCATTTCCCGCCGGGGGCAGCCCACCCTCAGGGATTCGGCTAATTAGAGACCGAGGTCAGAGCCCCCAGGCTGAAGGAGAATTGGGGGCTCAGGCTGCGGGGGGGTTAGGTGGGAAGAATTGCCTTTGAGTGGGCTTGGGGAGAGAGACGCGGAGACAAAAGCAGCAGGTGGGGCAGCTGGGGAGGGGGGAATTCCTTCACCAACCAAGGTGCTAAAGGGGGATCTTTGAAGTGTCCCGAAGCCTTCTCTAATGAAAACCTAGGGGATCAGAGACTCTTTTTCTCTCTTTACTTCTTTGGGGACCAGGCTGCAATTGTGATGCGATGTAGGCAAACCTAACTTAAGGATGGGCCAAGGGAGGGGGGGGTCCTCCATTTTTTTTTTCTTTCTCTGAGCGAACTGCAGTCGGGCACCTGGGCTCCCGTGCGGGATTCCCCGGGGGAGGAGCGCCGGGGTCCGTGAGGGGCGCGATTTCCTCCCGGCTCGCCCCCTCTCCGCCCACCCCGCGGCCGCCACTTTGGGGAGGGCAGGGGAGGAAGTGGAGGCCGGTGGCTCGGCTGGCTCCCCTCCCCCCGCGCAGTTTATAACCCGTCCATTGTGCGCCGCTGCCCCGTGTCTCCTCCAGCGCGACCATGCCCAGGAAGAAGGCGGCGGCGGCTTGGGAGGAGCCGAGCTCGGGCAACGGCACGGCCCGTGCCGGGCCCAGGAAGCGCGGCGGCCCGGC